CTCTGGCAACTCTGAACTTATTTCCTCCATTGTAGAAACACACATCCTCCAGGAAAACACAGAATAAAAAAGAAACAGCTGCATGGACCTTGGTGCCTCCTCCAGGAAGCTCCCAGCATTCTGGGCAGGAGTCCCTGCCTGGATCCCTGGGGACCTGGGGCAGGAAAGGGTGGCCCACCTCTCTCAAAGCCCATCCCCCACCCCACCCCCACCTCTGTAGAGACCATAGGTCTAGGTCTCCCCCCATGCCTTCATCCACAGGACCTCCAGGCCTGGGTTCCTGGCAGAGCATCCCATGGCCTGGCTGGCTCCCGAATTCCTGGGATTCCTACCCTGGTCCTGCAGCAAATGGAACCACCTGAAGAACCTCCAAGTGGCTGAGAGGAGTGGCCTTCCGCTGCAGAGGAGCCAAGCCCCCAGTTCCTGTTTCAGTTTCTATTCCAGTAAATAGTCACCACCAGGCATGAGGAAGCCAGGGCTGGCACCCCTGCCAGGCTCTGGCTTAGGTGAAGTGCCAGGCCACTCTGCCCTCTCTCCCTACCTGCAGGGATGGGCATCCCCTGAAAGGCAGCCCCTGGTAGTGTAATGGATGGCAAACCCAGGCCTGGATCTAAAACAAACTATAAAAACACCGCGATGAGAAGTAGTGCCTAGAAAGGGAGAGTTCCTGCCCCTTTCCAGTCAGCCATCTCCAAGAAACCTGATTAACATACCCCTACCTTTTGCCTTTTGGATTGTAAATAACTACCCCTAGGAATCCAGCTACTCCCCTTTGAAGTGTAAACATCCCATGTTCAGGCTCAGGGCCAAGGCTAGAGATTTGCCCTTTGCTGCTTCTCCTCTGATTCCTGCCCCCAGGATGAGAAGAATCAGCAGCTTTTGGTAAAAATGCCACATATCCTTGTTCTCAGGCAGATTCCCCTTTATGCAGATTCTGCTGGCAAGTGGTTCTGGGCCCATCCCAGCCCCTCACCAAAAATGAAAAGAGGGGCAGAGGGCAGTGGCCTTTCAGGGAGGCCCTGCAGCAGGATGAACCCTGGGTCACCACTTCCCTCAGGGTGCTGTGTTTGCCCCACCTGCCCTTCATGGCCTGTCAGGGACCACCCTGTCTTGTCCCATAATTAATTTTAATGCTGGCCCCACAGCAAGCCTGTGAAAACAGTCTGGCACTGCTCATCACTCAGACCAGTACCCCTTTTCTCCCCTCAAACAAGACCAGCAAGACCTCAACCACAGTTCAACCTGCACTTGGGTTCCAGAGGGTTCAAAATCCTGTCTCTTTTTGCTAGCTGTGAGGCTGTGGGCAAGTTACTTAACCTCTCTGTGCTTCACTCTCAGCATCTGAAGGACAGGGATTTATGATAATGTCGTGTTTAGCACAATGCTGGGCACATCACAGCTTAGCAGCTTGGCTTTTTTAAACCCCTGAGACTGCAAACCCTCCTCTCCCAAGGCGCCAGCTGGCAGATGTTCTTCCTGGTACCCAGGGGTGGGGAGCCCTGGCAGGTGGCTCCACCATTCCACAACTCCATCTTTACAAACAATCTACAGGCCCTGTGGCTGCTCATGGCTACTGCCCCATCCCAAGGATCCACAAGTCCCAGATGCTCAGGGCATTCTTGGGGCTGAGGGAAAGCTGTGCTGCCCTCTGGGAGCTCTGTGCCCCATGGGCTTTAGGGCAGCAGGACAGGGGCAGGGGAGGCACTTGCTCTATTCCGGCCATCAGCAGGGAAGGCCCATCTGACAGCTGGTCCCCTCCTGTCCCTTCACTGACAGCCTGGGCAGGCTGTGGGGACCCCTCCCAGGGCATTGCAAACCTACAGAGCCCTCCCCCTCCAGCAGCCTCAGACACCTCGCTAGATATCCTCTGGAGTGTCCAGAGCCTTTCAGCTCAGCCAGAGGCTTCTCATCCCCAAGGGGGACTAAACTCAGTTCTCTCAAAGAAAAGAGACTGGAAACTTGAAACAGGACAGGTGACTCCAGCAAAGAACCTCACAAAACTGCTTGAGGAAAGTGCCCCCTGGGAAGAGTTCTGTGGGGGGAGGGTCAGGCCTCCCTGAGGCTACAAGCTAGCCCTGCTCTCATCTGCCTGGAAGGCACAGATGCTCCCATTCCCCACTTGACTCCAGTGCCCCTTGGGACTTGCCTGGTCCTTGGGCTGCAGGAGGCAGCCTCTTTCCACACTGGCTGCAGAACTTGGGTGCTGCCTTGCAGGAGACTTGTCTCTGGCTGGGGGATCCTCTAGCCCAGTGTCCCTTCCCCTGCAGGTCTGAAAGGAGAAGCAAGAGTTCCCAAGGCAGCAGCTACAACTGTGCCTCCTGTCATGTGACCACAGTCCCATTTCAGTTTCATTTTCTGAGAAAATGAGATTGCTGTAGCCAGGAAGTTCATTGGCCAATGGAAATCTAGCATCAGTGTGTCTCCTGTGGCTGCTGAAGGCCACTGCTCCATCCCAAGTTCCACTCTACCCTGGATCCCACTCCACCCAGAAGCCCCCCTCTGTCTCTGCAACCACCCAGGGAGGCTAAGACTGCAGCTCAAACCACAGGCCAGGCCAGCTTCCCATACAACCACTGAGAACTTGGGGGAGGTGGGCAGGAGACTCAAGTGGACCTGCAGCCAGGGAAGAACCTTGGCCTAACATAGATGACCCCCAGGCAGCCTGCAGAGCTGCTTGGAAAGCAAGCCTGGAGCCAGGTGCCACTTCCTGCCCGGGGGCCTTAGTATCTCACCCTGCTCCCTGAGAGAGGGGAGAAGACAGCTGCCCCACAGGTAGCCCTAAGCACAGATGAGAGTTAGGTGAGTCTTACAGGGACAGCTTACAGCATTAGAGAGGTGCTAGTGGCCATGGTCACCTCTGGCTGAGCAGTGCCTCCTGCTAACAGGCTGGGGTCAGGGTTCCCAATAACTGGGGGACACTGCCATCTATGGAGGCCCACTCTTATCCTTAACCAGGGGGCATCCAACTAGGGAAAGGGTCAAGGTCACTCCAAGCCAAGGTCAAGATGGCAGGCCTTAACTCTGGCCTAACCCATGAATCCCAAGGCACACCCACCTATCCACCACCCACGTCTGCTGGTCCTGCATTAAAAAGCTGCAGAAGCAGTGGCTGCAGCTGTGGCACCTCACCAGCTGGAGGTACCTACCAGCTGCATGCAGACTTCTTCTGCTGCAGCCCCTGCCCCTCTCCTAAAGTTCACCTGCTACAGCCCAGCCCCAGTTCCCATCATGCCCCCTCCCCTCCACGCAGTCCCCTGAATCAAATACCACCAAGGTCTGGAAGTTCCTCACTCAAACGCCTTCAATGATTCCCTCTCTGCTCCCCTAGGCTCCTTTCCACTGTAGAGGAGCAAAACACTTGCTCCTCCACCCTTCTAGGTTCTTTAGCTGAGCTATGAATTAAATCAACATCAGACAGATTAACAGGAGGATAATTATGCATATTTGATTACATACCTACACACAAAATATGAGTTAAAGAAGGGTCAGTTGGCTTTACACAACACCAGAGCTACAGGAAAGGACAGAGCTTGGGGACTACTGGGGGTGGACATGGTTAAAAGAGGGACAGATGGCTGGGGATATAGCTCAGTTGGTAGAGTGCTTGCCTCACATGCACAAGGCCCTGGGTTCAATCCCCAGCACCACACGAAAATAATAATAATTAATAATAATAATAATAATAATAATAATAATAAGGGTACACTTGTACATTGCTGGTGGGACTGCAAATTGGTGCAGCCAATTTGGAAAGCAGTATGGAGATTTCTTGGAAAGCTGGGAATGGAGCCACCATTTGACCCAGCTATTCCCCTTCTTGGTCTATTCCCTAAAGACCTAAAAAGAGCATGCTACAGGGACACTGCTACATCGATGTTCATAGCAGCTCAATTCACAATAGCAAGACTGTGGAACCAACCCAGATGCCCTTCAATAGACGAATGGATTAAAAAAATGTGGCATTTATACACAATGGAGTATTACTCTGCATTAAAAAATGACAAAATCATAGAATTTGCAGGGAAATGGATGGCACTAGAGCAGAT